GCCGCCGCCACCGCCTGCGCCGCCGCCGCCGCCACCGCCTGCGCCGCCGCCGTGTTCGCCTGCTCCACCGACCGGGGTGGTGTCGTCGGCAGCCCGGCCAACCAAAAGCGATGCCCCGAGGGTGAGACAAATGAGCGGGATCGCCTACAGGAAGGTTCCAGGAAGGTTCCAGGAAGGGTCCAGGAAAGGTCGAGGCGAGGTCTAGAGGAGCGGGATCGCCCCTCGGCCCAGCATGACTCCGACGTCGAGGAGGAGCCTATGTGTGCTGCATACGCCGACATCGGGGCGGGAGGGCGGTCTTGTGCGGTGTAGTACTCAGAGCACCGCGTGAAGACGAGGGGCTACGAGGACAGTGACGACGGCTTCTCGACTGCCTGTGCGTGTGCGTCTTGGGTCCGGGGTTGTGTTTTTGTGCGAAGACGGCTGAATACGGTCGAATACGGCGGGGTATATGCCCTCTCGAGCGCGGGTTGGGAGACAAGAGTACGTATTCAGCTTCTAGGACGAGGAACCGCAGCGGTGCATCCGTAGTCACCACCAGCCTGCGCAGCGGCGTGGCGCCCGTCGCCACCCCCGCCAGCGAAGCCAGCGCCGGGCGGGTCAGCAGCGGTGCAAAGCAAGAGGCCAGGCGGCGCGTACAGCGAGCGGCTGGCGGCGGTCGAGGAGCATGGCACGCCGTCTTCTCCAGCCTGCCGCCGCTTTGTGCTGCTCTCCCAGGACTCCCAGGACCCGACGGCGCCCCTCTGCCGGGATCGGACGGCTCTGCGCCCGGCCGGTCGCCCCTCTGCAGCCCGAGCGGAGGCTCGCTCGCACCAGCCGCGGCACAAGCGGCTGCGGCGGCAGTGCAGTCTCCGGAGGGCTGCATCTCGATCGCCACCGGCCCAACGGCCGCACCGGCCGCCAGCATCGGGCTGCTGTCGGCGGCGGAAGACCGGGCGCTCACACAGCGACGGTATGGCAGTCCTGGCGTGTAGCCTCCGCCGCCGGCGACGGACGGCTGCGCGTCGGTCTCGGCGATGGCGGCGGCGGCGGCGAGCATGCGCGGAGCACACACCCACATGCACACGCTCATGACGACGTTGACGAGGAAGAGGTAGGAGAGCGTGCGCGACTCGAGGCTCTGCGCATGCGCCTCTGGCAGTGATGGATCTGCGGGTCCAGCGAGCGCCGGAACCGCGGCTGTGATGGATAGCAGCAGCGGCAGCGGGAGCCCGACCACGTTGGAGAAGCCGCACAGGGCGGTGGTGATTGGACGTGCCGCTCGCGGCGCAGCTGTGAGGCGGGCGGCCAGCTGTCCGCACACGAGGCCATTGAGCATGAAGGCGAGGCTCATGACGGGAACGCCCTTCAGGTGGGTCAGCATCGACGCCGTGATCCCCTCGGCGCAGGACGTGAAGATCATGAGCGGGATGAAGAGCTCCTTGTTGACCTCCGACAGCGCCGTGAGCACTCGCGCGTCCAAGCGGAGCATGCGGGCTGTGAGGCCGCCGGCTGCGCCAGCGATGACGACCTTGAGCGCCGCGGCGGCCGCGACGCCAGCCAGCGACAGAGTCGTGGACATGGCCTACCACGCCGGGCGTTATCAGGAGCGAGGCCTTCGTAAGCAGCGAGAAGTCAGCAGCGAGGCAGTCGTCAGCGGCGAGGCCGACGTCGGCAGGGCTGGCCGTCGTGGCCTGGCCGTCTATCTCCAGTGAAAGAATTTAGACAAGACAACTCTCTCTCACAGCACACAGGCTCGACACAGGTGCGAACTGGCGCGTGCTAGTACTATCACCGGCGCACCAGTGAAAGAATTCTACGAATAAAAGCCCCTCTACAGCAGACTGGCACGAACTAGCACCACAAAAGGCACAGCAGACAACGGCCCCTTATGGGCCGTCGAAGAGGCCGTCATACTCCTCCGGCCTCGCCCCCCCTTCCCAACCCTCCCCTGGCTCAGGCTCATCCTCGCGGCGCGCAGTGCGCACCCCGCCCCGCGAAGACGAACCCTTCCGCCGGCGTGCCTCGCGGGACTGCCGCCCGCTGCCGCCGCCCTTCCCCCCCTCCGCTGCCCGCGCCGCCTTCTCCGCCGCCCGCGCGGCCGCCTTCGCCTCCTCCGCCGCTAACAGCGCCTCCCTCCGCGTGACCCCTATGGGCCCCTTGCGCATCCAGGAGAGGTCGCGCGAGCGACCTATCCAGGGGTTACTCGGATACGGCGCAACGTGAAAGAAGAATTCGCTCCGGATCCCTGTCTTCTTTTCTTTTTTCTTTTTTGCGCGACCGTTACATCTTCGCAATCTCGCCGATCTCCCGAACTCGGAGTCCTGACGCGCGCCACGTAGGAGCGCGCCATTGACTTGTGTCGTGGGATGTGCTGGTCCCTTCGCGCCTCACTCGCTACTGGCGCGCTCTCGTATGTCTGCGCGTACTATCTTTTCCGCCGCCGCACCACTCACCGCGATCGTTGGCACGCCATATTCCTGTTCACCTTCAGCTCGATGCAATGGCTGGAGGCAGCGCTCTGGGCAACCGATCCTGTCAACGATCGCTGCAGCGCCACGAATGTCGCGCTGTCGACGTGGATTCTCCCGTCGCTGCTGACCGGAGAAATATATGTTCAGTGGGCCTGCGCAGGCATATACCGCCTCTCACTCCACGACGTCCAACTCTCACCGGCTTGGCGATGGTGCCTCCTGATGGTTGGGATCGCGTGGGTCGGCCCCATCGCACACCTACGCGCACCCGCCTACTTCGGGCCGAGGCCATACTGCACGACAGTGCAGCACACAGCGCTGCGATGGATCTCAACCGAGAGGCAGATACCTGAGCCCCTGATCTGCATGTGGGTCGCTGCCATCACTGCGCCCTTGCTGGCCATGAAACCTTTGGCCGCGGGCGCCACGTTCGCCATTGCGGGTAGCTCGCAGGCGCTGGGCGTGTACCTGACTGTCGGCAACGGCGTGTTTGGCTCGCGCTGGTGTTGGATCTCCTGCTGGTTGGGCTTGCTGATGCTCCTCGACCCGTGGCTGTTTGGCAGTGCGGTGCCCGGCGCACCCCTGCGAAAGACCAGATGAAACCAGAGTTCTTGGTGGCTGGGCACGGCGACGTAAGCGATACAGGAAGGGTGGATGGTGCAGGAGTGACGCTCGGTCGAGTTTTAACAGTTCTGTACCCACTACTCGATTCTACGGTGAGTTTCGATTGACGCTTTTCTGAGAGAAGTGTCTGTGCGAGTCCGGAGACGGATTCAAGGTGTGTACGAAGACGGAACGAGCACAGCAAGAGCAGCCTGGATCGCGGTTCGTCAGGTCAGCACGTCTCTCCTCCTCATGCAAACGGTGCAAGCGGGGGACTCGGCTGCGCAAGCCATGTTTTTCTCTTCCTGCGAGGCCGAGGGAGCTTTGTTGTAAAATTCTCACTCTTCGGGGCACGGGGCATGTGCGTTCGGACTTTTTTGCTGTGTAAGGTACTTCGGCCAACCCTCACCCCCCCCCCCCCCCCGTCAGACCAGGCCAGTATGTATAGGTAGGTAGGTAGAAAGCTGAAAGGGTGAAGAACAGCCAGGCTCGGACCGTGGACACCAGCGCGGTATGGGTGGACGCGAGACAGATGATGACGACACGCACGAGCGACACACAGACACAAACAAGCTCACAAGACACACAGCCAGCGTGGCTGCCAGGTACCATACCACACCCCGCAAAAAAGTTGGAACCCTGCCCTTCGTTGCTCAACCCACCACACAGTTGGTTGGCACACCGCATAGTGGTTGCCCCTTCCTATGTCGCTCATTCTGAGCGTAATCACCGCCTCTGCGTTTGCTCCGGCGCCTGCCTTCACGTTCACTCACGTGCCCACTCCCGTGCGGCTGGCGCCGCGGCTAGCGCCGCCGCGTGCGGCGAGGCCGTGCATGGTTGACTCGTCGGGCATCGACGGCTGGCCGGAGCTTGCGCAGGCAGCGGTCTTCGTCGGCTCATATGCGAGCCTCGGCGCCTGCGCGGTCGGCACAACGCGGCTGTTTGACGCCGCGCGAGAGAGTGCCCTGCCGCTGATCACCGGGTCGCGCTCCGCTGCCGCCGAGCTGCATCGCGATTTCGTCGCGGCTCTGCCGCTGCTCGGCCTCCTCTATCTCGCCGCCGGCGTCGGCCACTTTGCCGACGCGGAGGCGTTCCGCGCCATCTACCCGCCCGTGGGCACGTGGGGCCTCTGGTACCTGCCCGGCTCCGCAGAGTTTCACGTGGCGTGGACGGGCGTCGCAGAGTGTCTCGGCGGCGGCGGGCTGGCGCTCGGCGGCCTGCTCAGCGGGCTCGGCGTCGAGGCGGAGGGGGCGCTTGGCCTGCCGGTCGGGGGGCTGCTGACGGCCGCGTCCGCTGGCGGCCTCTTCCTGCTGACCGTCGCGGTAACTCCAGCCAACATCTACATGTTCACGCACGGCGCCGTGATGAGCGGCCAGGACGCCGGCGCTGCGCTCGGCCTCTCCTTCCACTGCGCGCGCTTCGGCATCCAGGTCGTCCTGCTGAGCCTGCTTGCGACGCTCGCACGCGACTCGTTCTACTACGCTTGGGGGGACCAGCTGGACTGACATTGCGCGGGTTCGGAGTAAAAATTGAGTCCCTGGCCCTTCGTTGTTAAAAGAAAGAGGGGCCAGGCCGCATGGCCGGGCGCGGCGGGCGGCGCCACCGCGCCCGTCCTCCACGCACAAGGCGTCCGGCGAAACGACTAAAGCAAATTGCACACGGGGGGGGCGGCGGGGGAATACGGTGTTCGTTCTGAGAAGCGCGCACGCGCACATGGCACATCCCTGACATCTCCGCGGAGAGTTCGGACCGCGTTATAGGATGTGCACACTATACACACTACGTATAGCTCGATTATCAAGCGTTAATAACCAACACTGAGGATGGAAGCCACTAGAGTACGCTCTCTGGGCACGTCAAAGGTCAGCTGCCAGGCAGGCACCTCTCTCTCCAATAACACAATAACTCAGCGCTGAGGCGGCACCCGGAACAGCACACGCTCACCTAGAATCCCTTTCTGGCCCTCTGCGCTCGCAGCGACTCGTTGCGCCGAGGCGGCTCGCCGCCCTGCGGGCCGCGATTGAGCATGCGCCGCCGAGTGCCATAAATCTCGCTGCGGCAGCTGGGGCAATCCGTGGCGATGTCGCATTGCCCTTGGCGCGTGACGTAGTCCGCCTGCCGCGGCTTGGTCTGAGCGAGGAGGCACGTGTAGTGGAAGATGTTGTGGCAGCACAGGCTGTAGCCCCAGCCGTCGTCCGCAAAGGGGTCGCAAAAGAGAGCCCTCGTCAGCAAGCGCTCGTCGTCGACGTCGCTGCCCTCCAAGCAGATCGAGCAGCGCGCGCCCGCCTCTAGCCACGGCGCGAGCTGCGGCGGCGGTGGCGGCGGTGGCACTGGCGACAGGTGCGCCGGCTGCGGCGAATCTGGCTCGGCCGTGCCCCCAGCCTCCTCCGCCTCCTCCGCTGTCGCCGCCGCCGCCGCATCCTCCTCCTGCTCAAGCAGCCGCCGCCGCTTCGCAGCCCGCTGCTCGCGCTCGTCCGGCGGCATCTGATTCTCCGAGCGCGCCAGCGCCAGCCCCAGCTCGGCGACCTCTGCATCCGTCGAGCATGCCTCCGCGGGCCGCTTGCGCTGCGAGCTGCGCTGGAGCCGCGTGGCAGCCGATGGCGCCGCCTGTGCAGCGGAAGCCGCGGCTGGCCCAAAAGCCTCCTCCTCCTCCGCCTCCGACTCCGACTCCTCCTCCTCCGTCTCCGACTCCTCCTCCTCCGTCTCCGACTCCTCCTCCTCCCCCTCCGACTCCGCTTGAGCGACGCGCTGCTGGCGCTGCTGGCGCTGCCACCGCTTGAAGGCTGGCGGGAGGCCACCGAGCCTCTGTCGGGTGGCTGCCATCGAGCGGGCGCGGAAGAGCGCCGCGTCCTCAGCGGTGGCGAAGTAGCCGAGGGTGATTTTCCTGCCGCCAACCGTCACCTGCAGCATGTACTTCTTGCTGCCTCGCAGCTTCGGGTAGAAAATCACGCCTTTGTAGCCGCTATTGCTGCCGCTGCTGGTGGCCAGCGTAAGGCCCTCCCTCTCTGCTTGCCGGACTGCCTCCTCGCCAGCAGCAGTGGAAGGCGCGGGTGGCGGCGGCGGCGGCGACGGCGCGGTGAGATCGCTGGTGTCCCTGCCCGCCTCCCTGCGGGCGTAGAAGAGCGCCGCCTGCTCGGCGGTGGCGAACATGCCGAGGAAGACTTGCTTGCCGCCGACCCTCACCGCCAGCTCGTACTTCTTGCTGCCTTTCCGCTTCGGGCAGTAGCAGACACCCTTGTAGCCGCTGTTGCTGCTGCCGCTGGTGACCAGTGTAAGGCCCTCCCTCTCCGCCTGCCGTATCACCTCGGCGTCAGCGGCAGTGGGAGCAGCGCGAGGCTGCAGCAGCTTGGCGGCGTCGGCGCGGCCGTACTCTGAGCGAGCGTAGGCGACAGCCGCCTCTTCAGCGGTGTCGAAGGAGCCGAGGTAGACACGCTTGCCGCCATCCCGCACCTGCGCCACGAACTTCTTATTGCTGCTGTTGAAGGTCACGTTCTTGTAACCAGTCGTGTTCCTCTTGTAGATGGCTGGGATCAGCACGAGGCGCTCAGTCGCTGTGGCCCGCGACGAGTTCGCGCGAGCCATCTGAGCGGGCGTCACGTTGAGTCGTCTCAGTCTCACGTGAATTCGTCCCTGTCTCACTCTCAGCGTCTCAGCGGTGTCTCAATAGATCCATCACTCCGTCTCACTTCCGTCTCACTTCAGTCTCTCCTTCCTGCCGTCTCAGCGGTGTCTCAATAGATCCATCACTCCGTCTCACAGAGAGAGAGAGAGAGAATTCTTGATACGAAACCACGACGACACACACCAGTCGACTCGCATCGGTTGCCTCCATGAACGGCGGAGCTATTCTCGCGTCCACACCACACCTGGCTCCAACGTGGACACGCCCATAGCTGGGGACACTACTAGGTCACGCATGGCATCAGAAGTTTTATCTCTGGGCCCCGAAAGGCATCTCTAGCAGCGTCGTTACGCATGCACCCTCCCCTCCTGGGCGCATACGCCTCACGTCTCGACAGAGCATAAGCCCTTGGTGTGCCACGAGACGAGTTCTTCGCCATCGCAGCGAGCAGCAAGCCACTCGCCGCAGCAGCCGGAGGCATCGCCACGGCACTGGCTGCGCCGCGGTCCCGCACCCGTCGGCGACGCTCCCCCCGCGGAAGACCGCGCGTAGCGACGCCTTGACGATCGAGATGAGCGCGCTTGAAGCTCGCCCACCTACTGCCCCTGAGAGTTGGTTATCGAGTGGGCTCAGCTCCCCCCCTTGGGATCGAAGCTTCCACGACCTCGCACCCAACACCACAGGCGGGATCAGAGAGAGACTCCGCACCGGACACCGCCCGGGCACAGACCCCCTACCCGTCGGACAATGCCTGGACCCCTCACAGAGCAGCCCACGCACAGGTCACGCATCGGCAGGTTTGACACCTGGTTCAGGCGTAGACAGCACACACTGGTCACAGTTGCATAGCCCTGCCGGGGGGGACGAGTTCGCAAGGTTAATATTAAAAGAATACAAAGTGGTGACAACCACTGAGTTCTCAGTGGACGACGAGCGTCGACTGAACAGAAGGTGGGTGTGCAAAACACCGGGTCGGCGCCAGGCTTAGACAGCCAGTCGCACGACGGTCGACTGGTCACAGTCTCATCACGAACACGTTCTAGTCGTTCCCCTTCCTCGTAGCTTGCATCGCTGCTCGCCTCACTCCAGTTGCTCCTCCTCGTCGACCCCTGCTTCGTTTAGCCTGATGAACGTCACTCGGCCTTGGCCCACTGAAACGCTCCCCTCGCAAGTCCACCGTCGTCCTCTCTCTCTCTCTCTCTCTCTCTCTCTCTCCGTCTCACTTCCGTCTCACTGCAGTCTCTTCCTGCGAGAGAGAGAATTCTTGATACGAAACCACGACGACACACACCAGTCGACTCGCATCGGTTGCCTCCATGAACGGCGGAGCTATTCTCGCGCCCACACCACACCTGGCTCCAACGTGGACACGCCCATAGCTGGGGACACTACTAGGTCACGCATGGCATCACAGAAGTTTTATCTCTGGGCCCCGAAAGGCATCTCTAGCAGTGTCGTTACACATGCCCCCTCCCCTCCTGGGCGCATGCGCCTCACGTCTCGCCAGAGCATAAGCCCTTGGCGTGTGGCGAGACGAGTTTTTCGCCATCGCAGCGAGCAGCAAGCCGCCCGCCGCAAACAGCCGGAGGCATCGCCACGGCACTGGCTGCGCCGCGGTCCCGCACCCGTCGACGCAGCTCCCCCCGCGGAAGACCGCGCGTAGCAACGTCTTGACGATCGAGATGAGCGTGCCTGAAGCTCGCCCACCTACTGCCCCTGAGAGTTGGTTATTGAGTGGGATCAGCTCCCCCCCTTGGGATCGAAGCCGCCACAACCTCACACCCAACATCCCAGGCGGGATCAGAAGGGGACTCCACACCGGACACCGCCCGGGCACAGCCCCCCTACCCGTCGGATCGCACAGAGGGCCCCCTCGGAGCAGCCCACACACAATCACGCATCGGCAGATTGAGTGCCTGAGTCAGGCAGACAGCACAGACAAGAGGAGAGAGAGGAGAGAGAGAGAGAGAGAGGAGAGAGGAGAGGGTGAGGGTGTGAACACACGTGAGGAGTGGGGGAGGGTGTCTGTGGTGGGTTGTAGTCATACTACGTGGTTACAACCACGCGCCCCTCAGGAGCTTAAGGTAGAGCTGAGCGTCCAAGACGCCTCGGTGCCACCCACCGGCGTGAAGACCATCCGGATCTATCTGCCGCGTCCTCCGTACGCAGCAGTCCCCGCGATGGCCCACGGTCCTCCGTCGCCTGGTTGAACCCCCTGCCTCCCGGTTGACCCCCCGGTCCCCGTACACGACCATGAAATAAACTCAAAGTCCACCACAGCCACCAGCCTCCACCTCCACCCGCGAGCCGCCACCGCTGCCGCCCGCGACGCCGCCCGCCGCGTCAGATAGCCGCGACGCGCGCATCGAGTCGCGTCGGAGAGCCGCGCCGCACCAGCAGCAGCATCTGCACCACCAGCAGCAGCAGCACCACCACCACCACCACCCGAGAGAGAAGCGCACCTGCCCGACGCCGCCCGCCGCGTCAGACGCTCGCGACGCGCGCGTCGAGCCCAGTCGCACAGCCGCGCCGCGCCAGCAGCAGCATCGGCACCAGCAGCAGCAGCACCACCACCACCAACAGCAACAGAGACAGGCAGTGCAGGCGCAGAGGCGCTCGCAGAGCGGCGCTCAGCGCCGCGCACGCCACGCTGCGGACCGTCGGACGAGCGCACCGTACGTCGGCGGCGAGCCGCGTCGCCAGCCGTCTCGCGAGAGAGCGGCGCCGCCGCTTGCGCGCAGCAGCCGCCGCGGCAGAGGCGAGCCGCGGCGACGTCCGCACTAACGGATAACGGCCATTGGCGGTTTTCTCTCTCTACCTGTGTCGAACCTGTGTGTGCTGTAAGGGCCCCTCGTACTTGGAGCACTTGGAGTGCAGTTATCAACCTCACATCCAGGGCCGGGGTATGTATGTATGTAGGAAGGTGAAGAACAGTCAGGCTCGGACTGGACACCAACGCGGTATGGGTGGACGCAAGACAGACGTGATGACGACACGCACGAGCGACACACAGACACAAACAAGCTCACGAGACACACAGCCAGCGGGCTGCCACACATCCTGAGTGGGCGTACACATCACTCAGGCCACGTCCCCCCTGTCGCCCCCCCCAGCACTCCAAGGTGCCAAGAGACAAACAACAGCACAACAACACAGACAGGCGACAGGGGCGAACGTGTGAGACTAGAGCAGGCTTGCTCCGCCTCTAGCAATCTCGTCGCCGGCCGCAAGGCACGGACGAGACCGTGTGTGGGGTCTTGTGAGGTGTCTATGGACGCCCTCCTCACAGGCTATTGGCCAGCCGCTAGCCCTATCTCGCACTCATGGGTGACGACAGTTCATTGGATGAGTGGTTGCGAGCAGAGGCGCGTGTGCTGAATCTAGATCGCACGCCGTGGCATATGACTTGGGTAGGCGTGCGACCGCAGCGCGCCCGCCGAAGGCTCGACCGGGCCGGGGATCTAAGAAGCGCAGGCGGTGTGAATTCTCGAGAATTGCCGGTTTGCCACTGTGACCAGCACCCATCACATGTCGCGCTCCTTTCGCGCCGCACGCACCGAGGACGACGCCCCGCCCACGGACTGGCTGGCAGAGCTGCCGCACGAGCTGCACCTCCGCATCCTCGAGGGCGTCGACGACTTCTCCGACTGCGCCGCCTTCAGCCTCGCGTCGCCGCGCCTCGGCCTCCTCGCGCTTCGCAGCGGCCTGGCGCGCTTCAATGACCCGCTTTTCGCCGTGGCGATACGGCTGCAGATCGCGCAGCATTGCGTTGGTTCGGTCGGCACAGTGTCGGTGACGCTCAGCGAGGACACCCTTCGCAGATACGCCGCCGACCGCCGTGCCAGCGCCGACCACTTCCTGTGGCTTGCGAGGGTGAGCCCGGCGCTCCGCCTCTCGTCGGAAGTGGAGGGCGCTGGAGAGCGCCCGATCGAGGTCTGGAGGCTGCGGCGCGGTGAGAATGGCGCGAAGCTGCGGGTGCGTCTCTTGCACAGCGGCCTGGTGGAGCACTACGAGGGCGAGAAAGGAGCGGAGCGGAAAGTGCGCGCTGAGCTTGCCAATGGCGTGGTGCAGTACTTCGAGGGCGACAAAGGCGCGGAGCGGAAGGTGCGCGGGCAGTTTGACGGCCAGGTGAAGTACTACGAGGGCGAGCGAGGAGCAGAGCAGAAGGTGCGCCTGGTGTTTCCCAATGGCAACGTGAAGTACTACGAGGGCGAGAAAGGTGCGGAGCGGATGGTACGCGCGGTGTATGCCAGCGGCCGGGCGAAGTACTACGAGGGCGAGCGAGGTGCGGAGCGGCTGGTGCGCACGGTTCGTGCCGACGGCCAGGTGCAGTACTGTGAGGGCCAGTGAGGTGAGGAGCGGAAGGTACGCATTGAGTTTCGGCGCGTACGCTGATGGATGAATGCTGCAAACTTTGAAAGCATGCGGTCTTGGGGCGTCGCGGCGTGGAGCCGGGAGCGGGCGGCGCGTGGCCATGCGTGGTGGCTGGATGGTGCCGGAAACGGTGACGGAAAATAAAAACAGCAAACAGGCATGCACGAACTTTTTCCAGCTCGAGTCGCACGCGTCGTCGCATGGCGAGGACCGTTCCCTCGTTTGTATTCAAATAGTATCATTCCCCCTGTATCTCAAGAAACGCACACAACTTCGAGTGGCTTGTCAACACCCTGCCACCGCAGACGCACAGGCGCCCCTCCTCGAGCCGCTTGCGCTTCCAGTGGCGCCGCCATGCCACCGGCTACCGCCCGACACCATCGCCGCGCCCCCGCGGCTCTGCCGGTGCGCCTCCGCAGTCTGCCGCAGGCGCTCGAGGTAGGTTGGCGGCGAGGAGGCCGGGGCCGGGGCAAAGGTGGCCGACGGCGGGGTAGAGCGCTTCGCCTTGGCGGCGGGCGGGCGGGCGGCCTCAGCGAGCAGCAGCCGCTCGAGGCGCGCGACGGCGCTCGAGGCGCGAGGGCGCGCCCACGCGGGATCATCCGCGGCGGCGGAGCTGGGTGTCGCGGTGCCGCGCTTGGCGGCGAGGGCGGCGGCGGCGTGGGGCGTGGAGAGGGCGGCGGTGGTGGCGAGGGCGAGCGGTGCGGTGGGGGCGGCGACGGTGGCAGCGACGGGGACGGCGGCGAGGACGGCGCAGCCAGGCGCGGGGTGACGCGCCGGCCCCTCCTCGGCCTCTAGCTGGCGGCGGAGGCGGAGGGAGCTGCTCGCGAGGGCGGCGCGCCACTGCTCTGCCACCTCCTGCTCCTCGCTGCCGCGCTCGTGCGCCACCGCCTCGCGGGCAACCCGCACGGCTCGCGCGCCGATGCTCCAGCGGCGCACCGCTTCACGGAGTCGGCGCTCGCGGCCCGTGGCGGCAGCCGCCACGCTCCGAGCGCGCGCCGCCGCGGCCGCGGCGGCGCGCGCAGTCCACCGCGCCAGAGCCCAGCGGGCGAGCTCTCCGGCCCGATGAGGGACGGCCACGGCGAGCAGCAGCACCGCGTAGTAGCGGCCCTGCCACCGCCGCACGGCTGCGAGCGCCCGCCTGCGGTCGCACGCCCAGCGCGTGCTCGCTGCGGCCGCATCGGCGGCCCGCCGCGCCGCCGCGCGCCGCCGCCAGCACGAGCACGCGCGGCGCGCCGCCGCCTCGCGCCGGTGGGTGGCTGCGAGGAGAAGGTTGCGACGACCCGACCCGAGCCGGCGCGCCCTCCCAGCCAGGCAGGCGAACGCCGTGCCGAGCTGCACCCAATCGGCCGCCCCCCGCCGCTCGCACCGGCGGCGACGCGAGTCTGCCGCCGCACGCCACCGCCGCACCGCCGCGCCGAGCGCGACGGCGCGGGCAAGCAGAGACGCGTCCGCATCGGGGGCGGGAGATGTCGCCACGCGGTGGTACCACCGGCGCAATGCCGCTCCGCCGCGCCGCCGCGCCGCCGCCGCCGCCGCCTCCCCCGCGGCGCGCCGCGACGCGGCAGAGGTGGCGAGGCTGGTGAGGCCGCGGCGCAAGCTTCGGAGGCGAAACCAGACGTCGGCCGCCGCTCTCTGCCGCCGCCGCCGCGTGGAATCGGCCGCAGCGACGCGCCATCGCGCGGCGAGCGACTCGAGCGCGTGGCGGCGGTGGAAGCCTCTCGCGCGCTGCGCCGCCGCGGCGAGGCTCTCTCGGCGGATGGCCGCGCGCACCCATCGCTTCCTCGCCACCGCTAGGCGGACGTGGACAGACGGCGGCAGCCTGCGCGGCGGCACCGCGGCGGCGCGCCGCCAGCGGCGGAAGGCGAGAGGGAGCTGGCGCAGGCGGGCGGAGAGAAGGCTGAGCGCGGCCGCCCGCCGCTGCCGGACCCGCTCCCCGGCAGACCGCCTGCGCCAGCGACGCAGCGCCGCGCGCGCCGCCTGCCGCGCTGCCGCGCGCGCCGCGCCGTCCGCTGCGGCGCGCGACACCAGAGCGAGCTTGGCCTCGGTCCGCCAGGCGGCGAAGGCGGCGGCGGCGGCGCGCGAGCGCAAAGTTCTTTCGTGAGACGCGAGGGCCGCCGCCGCGCGCCGGGCGGCGGCGGCCGCCGCCTTCCAGCCGCCAAAGCCGCGAGAGAGCCGGCGCACACTCACGAGACCGAGGCCGCGTGCCGCCGCGCGCTCGCGCCGCTGTTGGTCGGCGCGCCCGTGGCTGCGCCAAGTGGCGAGGCTCGAGGAGAGGCGGCGGCTCCGCAACCGTAGCGCCGCCACCCTGCTCGCTCGCACGAGGGCCTCCTCCCTCGCCACAAAACGGCTGCCGCAAACCGCCGCCGGGGCAGCTGCCGCCGCCGTCGCGCCGCCGCCGCCTCCGTGCCCGCCCTGTGGCGGGGGCGGCGCCCGGGCCGCCGCCCGCACCCACGGCATCCTCGCACCACCCGAGCCTTCCTCTGCTCTGCGGCTGTGCGGTGATCCGTGCCAGCCACCACCCGTCGAGGCAGTGCTCCTCCGCACACTCGCACCACCGCCGCCGGACGCGCGCGAGTCGAGACGGCTCACCGCCTGCCGCAGCTCGCGGCGCGCTGGCACTGTGGCTGCGGCCACTGCCTCCACCAGAGCCGCCGAGCGTGCGCCATCGTCGCTGCTGCCATCTGCAGCACTGCCGCCGCCGCCAATGCCGCCGCCGCCAAAGCCGGCGCCCGCGCCGCCGCCACAGCCGCCGCCGTCGCCGCCGGCGTAGCGGCCGCTGCCGCAGCGCCCCTCGCGCTCTCTGTGCCCGGCACGGCCACCAAGCACTTGAGGCCGCCCGGGATGCCCCGTCTCGGAGGCGCGCTGGGCTGACGGCTCGGCGGCGGTGAAGGCGCGGCTCCCACGCCCCTGCCGCTCGCACTCGGCCGCTATCGCGCACGCTATCGCCGTCACCTGTGCCGCCACAGCGCCGCGCCGCGCCGGAGCATCTTCGGGCGACTCCTCAATGCTCGGCAGAGGCGGTGAGTGGAGCTTCCTCGGTGGCGGCTGTTCCTCGGCCGTCGGTGAGTTGCCGTCCTCAGAGAGCAGGGCTGCAGCCATGGAGCGGCGAGCGGCAGCCATGGACGAGCGTGTGGCCGCCTCACTGCTGGCCGTCCAATGCTCGCTGCAAGAAGCGCAAGAAACGCCGGCTCGCGGCGCACAGGTCGCGGCACGGGCGTCTCGTGCCCGCCGGAGGCTGTCCACGAGCGACTCCAGCTCCGACTCGAGTGTCGCGGGAGGCATTGATCGTGAGCGCCCGTTGAATACCGGTGTGTTCGTCGTCGCGATGTTGCGGCCTTTTGAGGGCTGGCGCTGGAAAAAGAATTAAACAATTTATGTTCGCACGAATCGCGCTTGGCCGCGCAGTTGTGCTCGACGAGACACTTTTACCGCAGGCACTCGAGAACCGCACTCCAATTCCTCCATCCAAGAGCTACGCAGTATACCTGACATCCCCTGAGGTCCTGCCACTAAAGGCGGTGTGGGTTGGGACTCGATCAGTCAGCGCGGGGGCGGCGGGTGTGCGGGATGTGGGCCCGAGAGCGATGCGTCATTCATGTGTGTGTGCCCCTCGCTTCTGTTCATAACGTAAAATTCATACCATCGAAGGCTCACCGGAGAGTGTTTGTAGAGTGCCCACTGAGTTTGCGACAAATGCTCGGAAGCACCTGCCTGCTGCTGCTCCTGCTCACTCGGGACGTCTCATCACGGCACGTCGCCATCGTGACAGGCGGCACGCGCGGTATCGGCCGTGGCATCTCCGAGTCCCTTGCACGTGACGGCTTCGATCTCCTCTGCACGTACAACACAAATGCAGAGGCGGCGGCAGCAGCGGCAGAGGAGCTGCGGACCACCCACGGCGTCCGTGTCGAATGTGTCGGCGGCGACATCGCTCAGGTGGCTACTCGGGACGCCATCTTCGCGAACTTTGATTCCCAGTTCAAGGAATCGGGCCGTTAGTAGTAGCTTCCACCCTCGCACGTCACATCCGTGTTTTCAGGGCTGCAGTTAGTAGCTACCACCCTCGGCGTCACGATTCCCATGGTGTTAGGGCTGCGAGCTCGGCGCGGTGGTCCACAACGCGGGGCAGTACGTCGGCATCACCTCGGACAACGCCGACGGGCTGACGGCGGGCATGCTCGGCTTTGGTGACGGGTCAATGCTGTCTGCCGACGGCGGCTCCACCAACCTCGCGACGATGCGCTACTACCAGAGGCTGTACGGCGATGCGTACATCGACCTGATGGAGCGAGGGCTCAGGCGTATGGGCACCTCGGGTGGGTCCCTGATCGGCATCTCGTCGCCCGGCTGCAGCACGCAGTACAACGCGAACCTCGGCTACGACATGCCCGGTAGCGGAAAGTGCGTCATGGAGTACGCGATGCGGCTGTTTGCCCTCCGATGTGCCGGCCGCTCCGTCAACTGTAACGTCGTCATTCCTGGCGTGACTGTGACCGACGCGTGGGGCAGGCTTGCAGCCACGCGCGGTGCCAGCAAGGACGACCTCATCGAGGGCATCGCGGGGCGACTGTCGCCGATGGGGTCGATGACGCCGCGGCAGCTTGGCGACGCGGTCGCCTTCCTCTGCTCCCCGCGGGGCCGCCTCATCACCGGCGTCTCTCTGCCGGTCGACGGTGGCGTCCACCTCAAGTCGTGAGGAGCAGATCAGATTCAGAAAAGCTCCCCGCGCGGGTCTGTGACATGTGTGAGCGCTCAGGCCTTCGCCTTGACCCGGGCGGAATCCGCGAGGTATACCTGTCCCCTTCCTCGTTGCCTTGCTGATGCTGTCTAGCCTCGTGAATGTGTGTGGTGGGGCTGTGGTCAAACTCAATAATGCTGTTTAACAAACAAAGCAAATCCTTGTCTATTCACCCGCCAGCCAGGGGCGGAGGAGGAGGGATAATGGAGGTAACGTGGGAACAGGCCAACAGCCAGTGGGACGAACGAGGGCCGCGACGGCGGCTCAAGCGGGAGGGAGCGGAGACGGTGGGCAGAGAGCGAAGTGGGTGAGACTGATGATGCTCCTCCGACTTAGGGAGCGGTTCAGATGCTGGGCGGGCTTCAGGCTGGTGCTCACGCGAACAGGAATCGACGCGATGTGCAAAGCATACAAGAAGGGGAGAGGGAAGAGGAGAGACGCCGGTGAGGACGAAGCAGAAACTAGCGCAGACGAGAGCAGGGCAGACCCGGGGACTGGGGAGCCGGAGCAGACGGCATCGGCCGCCGAGGGAACGTTGGGAAGAGGCACGAGGAGGGCGGCGACTTCGACCGACTATGGAGGACCCGTCGCCAGACGACGCAGGGCAGAAGACGGTGAGGCGGAGCAGACGCGCAGGGTGAGACGAGGGAGGGAGCAGGACTTTGCGGAGATCAGCAGGAGGATGTACGAAGAGATTAGGAGCAGCAGGGACCCGAGGGACCATGTGGAAGACGGCTAGTGCTAGTCCCCCATCGGGAGGACGACCCCGGCTAGTCGCCGACCACACCCACAAAGAACCCTGCACAAAGATCGCAAGGGCGGGGGCCTGTTCCTTTTTACCCATCTCACAGTAGAGAGGTGTCCGTTTTTATTTATTTATTTAGCCAGGGGCACGTAACCGCGCCACGCACGGCAACATCTCTAACATCAGCTTCCCAACCGCTTTGTGTCTCGTCCGACGTCCTCGTGCAGTTCGCCCACCTTGCACCCGATGCCCGCGCGCGGCTGCGCGACGCTCATGCCCCCGCGCAGCAGCTCGGCGTCCTCCTTTGCCGCCCACCCAAACCCGCCGCCTGCGCGCAAGGGGAAGTACGGCTGCTGCCCGCACGAGGCGCAGAAAGCGGGTGCCTCGGCGCCCGCAGCCGCCGCCCGCAGCTGCAGCGGCTCCAGCCTGTGCCCGGTGCCCAGAAAGTTCCAGCAGCCCTCGTGCTCGCAAGCGTGGCCTGGCTTAGCTGCGGTCGGCTCGAGAGGAAACTCCGTTCCGCAGTAGGTGCCGAAGCCGCGATCTGCCGCCGCGCCAGCTACGGGTGCGCCTTCGTCGCCGTCGCCACCGCCGCACGGCACGCCGTGGCAGCTCGGCGTAGGGCAGAGCCAGGCCTCGTCGAAAGTGATGCTGGGGTACCCCCTGGCGAGCATCTGCCGGACCAGGTGGGCGAGCCATCGCACAGCGCTCGCCTGCCCCTTGGCGGCGCCCACAAAGTGATAAGCGTCGTTCGGCGCGGCCACGACGATGTCGAGGGTGGCGGCGGCGAGGTCGACGCGCAGCAGCGCGGATGCCGCGCGGAAGCGGACCACCGCCGCGTCGCGCCAGAGCCGCGTGGCGCTCACGCTCCCGGCCGGCAGCCGCGCGAGGCGCGCGACGAGCATCGGGAACACGCCCGGCGGAAGGAAGCGGTCGCGGGCTCGGAAGCGGTGCCCCCGCATGACGAGCGCGGCGAGCGGGGTCGCAGTTGCTTCTGCCGCCGGCCAGTGGCACGCGAGCTCGGGGGCGCTGACGAGGGGCAGCAAGCAGGGGAAGAGGAAGCGGCCGCAGCCCGCCGCGTCCTTCTCGAGCCGAGAGAGCTCGACGCAGAGCTCGAGGCTGCACACGAGGGACATCACGTCTGGTAGCTGCGCCTCTGGAGCGGAGTACCCGTGCTGCAGCGCCGCCACGACGAGCGTCGGCCAGCCGCTCGTAGCTCGCTGGCACCCACCAATCCGACGAGACGGCCTCCGCCGCTTCGCCCAGCCGGCGGCGCACCTCTCGCAGCGTCGCATCGATCGCGGCTGAGCGATAGTCGAGCCGCAAGGCGCCCGCGCCGAGTCCCCCGCCCGCTGCCTCCTTGAGCGCGTCAAACTCGGCCGCCGCCGCCGCCTCCGCCACGGCCAACTCCGTCTCCACGCGGTCCAACTGAGAGGCTGCGAGGATGACGGACGCGGTCCGCCGCTCGCCGAGGGCGCGCAGGAAGCTGAGCCAGTACCGCCAGCTGCCGTGGTGGCGGCTCGACGGCTGCGCAAAGGAGCCGAGCGGCTGGATGACGAGGCATAGCGTGTGCATCGACGCGAGCAGCAGCTGGTGCGTGACCAGGTACTCCATCTGGCCCGCAAAGTCAACGAGCGCACACTCGCGCGCGGCGGCGGTCGCGTCGGCGTCGGCGTCGGCGTCGGCGTCGGCGGTGGCGGCGGCGGCGGCGTCGGCGTCGGCGGTGGCGGCGACGGCGGCGCGGGGCAACGAAATGGCCCCGTCGACCTTGACGGCGCCCACGGTCGAGAAGTAGCCCTTTCGCAGCAGCGAGCCGACTGCGAGGGCGAGCCGGCGCACCTCTCTCTCGCCCAAGCCCGCCGTGCGGCAGAGCTCGCCGAGCCTCGCCGAGGGCAGCACCGCAGCGTGCCCTGCGCCGCCGTCGGCGCCGAGCGCGCCGAGCCCCTCGGCCGCGGGGGCGAGCGCGCCGTCCCGGTCGGCAAGCAGGGAGGGGAGGGCGGCGCCATCCACCGCCGCCGCCGAGAGAGCGGCGGCCGCCTTGCTCGCCCATTCGGTGCCTCGCTGCGCGCCCAAGCCGCGCGCCCACGCCGCCACCGCCGCCGCGTCCCACTGCGAGCAGTGTAGGAGCGAGGCCGCGTAGGTTGGCCGCACCTCGGGCGGGCACCTATCAGGGGAGGGCTGGCCGGTGTGGCCCCGAGAGGAGAGGCCTGAGATTCGCCGAGATGCGCCGAGAAGACTCGGGAGCTCGCACGTGGCGGCGCCGCAAAAGGTTGTCTTCCCGACGCCGCCGAAGCCAACCACCATGAGCCGGATCCGAGAGACCGCCTGCGGCTCGGCCGACAGCATGGCGAGGTAGTCGCCCAACGCCTGGGAGCCTGCGCGGTGCGCGAGCGGCGGCGAGGTGAGCACGTTGCCAGACAGGTCGACAGACAGGTCGAGCCGCGAGCCGCCGCCCTCTACGCTGCCCCGCGCGCCGCCGCCCTCCGCGCTCCCGAGCCGCCGAGCGAGGCGCAGCTATGGAGGGAGAGAACAGCCGAGATACAGCCGAGATACAGCCGAGATGTGGCCGAGATGTGGCCGAGATGTGGCCTCGTGGCGACACACGACATCGCACCTGCGTCTCGATGGGCAGTGCGGTGATGATGTTGGAGGAGAGATCAAGCTCGCGCAGCGCCGGGTGTGCCGCAAACGCCTCGCACAGCGCCACACCGCCGCCGTCGTCGACGTCGTTGCGCGGGAGCTGCAGCCTCCGCAGCGCGCGGCACGAGGGCAGCGCCGCGGCGAGGGCGGGAGCGCTCGCGCCGAGCTCGTTGCCTCCGGGGGGGGGGCGGGGGTTGTTGGAGGGGGGGATCCGGAGCGCGCGGTGCGCGGTGGCAGCGACGGGCAAAGGGTGGGGTGGTGCCCGCGCCGGCCGGCGGGGGCGGCGCATGGTGGGTCGGGAGGGGGGGCAGCGGCAAAGCGGGCTGCCGAGGCGAGGTGGGGAGACAGGCATATAGACTGTAGTCGAGCGCGTCGGAGAGGTGTTTCGACACCGAGTGTTCGTGAGGCGAGCGCGCGCGAGGAAGCGGAACGCGCCTGCCGCGCTGAGAGAGACCAGCGCGCAAGCCTCGTGGCCGAGGAGGGCGGCGGCGAGCGCCGCACCCCCTGCAGCGCCCAGCCCGTTGCGGTCGAGCGTCAGCCTGCGCAGCACGCGCGACCGCCCAACGCCCGCAGCGAGCACCGCGCCACCGACGCCGCCGAGAGCATTCAGCGACACGTCCAGGTCGGCGAGCGAGCCGCTGCCGGCGACGGCGTCGGCGAGCGACGAGACGCCATCGCTCCCGATTGCGTTGTCGCTCAGGTCCAGCCGCGTGAGGCTAGGGACACGTCCAACGGCGTGTCAGGGTCAGGGGCGTGTCATGGGACGCGTGTCAGGGGCGTGTCATGGGACGCGTGTCAGGGACGTGTCATGGGACGCCATGGCTGTGCAGGTGGGTCAGGGATGTGTCATGGTCAGGGACGTGTCCGCCATGGCTATGCAGGTGTGCCGAAGGCGCCTGGCGTTCGCGCCCACCGCCGCCCCGATTGCCGCGCCGCCGTCCGGTCCGAGCTCGTTTCGCCGCAAGTCGAGGGAGGTGAGGCCGGTGTTGCGCCGGAGGGCGGCGGCAAAGGCGGCGCCACCCACGGCGCCGAGCTCGTTTTGCGCCATGTTGAGGGAGGTGAGCGACGAGTTCACCTGTGGACGCGGCACGGACATGTGTGCCAGGCCATGCACATGTCACGGACATGCCGAGGCACGTGAAGCGGCGATTTGACCTCCAGTGCCTTGGCGAACGCCGTCGCACGCTCCAGGCCGTACCCGATGCGGTTGGAGCTCATGCCCAGCGTGGCGAGGGAGGTATTGACAGCGAGCGCCCTGCCAAACGCGACACCGCCCTCGACTCCCAAGTCGTTTTGCTCGACGTCCAGGCTGAGCAAGTGGCGGTTGGTCTCGAGGGCCTCGCCGAGCGCCCTGCCGCCGCCCGGGCCGAGGCCTAGGAGACGGCCAAACCGGCAACCTCACAACACGCGCGGGGCATAGGTGCGCTCCGCGGCGACCGCGCTACCACACCGCACCAGCGTCAGCTGCGTGAGCGAGGTGTTGCTGCGCAGCCCGCGGGCGAGCGAGGCGCCGCCCTCCGGTGCGATGTCGTTCAGGCTCAAATTTAGGCGGGTGAGCGTCTGGTTCCGGCCAATCGCGTCGCCCAATGACATGCCGCCCTGCACGCCGATCCCATTCCTCTCCATCTCGAGCCGCCGCAGTGACGTATTCGACGCAATCGCCGCCGCGAGGTGCTTTGCGCGCTCTGGGCCGATACCTACGTTCGCCGAAGCAAGGTGACTTGCGGCCGAGCGCGGAGATGGTCACGAATGCTAACGAGCCGAGGCGCTGCATGTCGACTGTGGTTGCGCGGCAGTGCGGGGCCGAAAGAGCCTCGATCAATGCGCCAAAGGCGGAGCCCTCCGCGATCTCGCTGGTCAGGTGTACGTGCTCGCGAGCACACACGGCAGCCAGCCTTTCGTGCTGCGCCGGCTCGAAGCCTTCAGTCGCTGCATCGCCGAGCCGCGAGCGCTTGGCTACCTGGTCTCGGAGGTGGTCTCCGGAGCCATGCTTGACAGCGCCAATCGCTCCGTGCTGGTGGTTCTTGACCATCCTCGCCGCAAGCTAACGCCTGTGTCGCTTTGCCCATGCCCTGGGTTCCAACTTTTCCGGGGGTGTGGTCGGGGGCGGGGGGTATGGCAGTCAGTTTGGCTGAGTGTCTTGTCTTGTGGTTCTGTGTGTCGCTCCTGTGTGACCGTCACCGCCCGTCTAGCGTCCACCCATACCGCGTTGGTGTCCCAGTCGTTGGTCGGACTGTGTTTCGCCTTCCCATCAATCAATCAATGGCTGCTGCATCATGACAGCCCAAGGCTAGCCCCGATAGCTTCTCGCCGCCCTTGCTCGCCAGCGCCGGCGATGCCGTGGCGCGCCCGCCGCGCCCACGCGCCCGCGCCTGAAAGGTAGCCCTGCCACGCCCGACGTCCCCCGCGCCCGAAGGATGACCCGCGCCTCCTCCTCCGTCACGGGCGTCTCGCGACCCCCTCGCGCCCGGAGGATAGCCCGGGCCTCCTCGTCCGTCACGGGCATCTGCGTCTTGTGCTGCAGGGCCATCCTCAGCGCCTAACGCGCTTGTCCTCCTCGGCCGTGGCCGCCGCGCTCGCCTCCGCCGCCCCAGAGCCCCCTCCTGCCACCACCTCCTCCGCGTCCGCGCCGCTGTATGTAGAATTCTACGAATACAAGCCCCTCTCACAGCAGACTGGCACGGACTAGCACCACAAAAGGATGTAGAATCCGAAGCACCGGCGGACGCAGCACGTGGCTGCGAACTGAGGGAGGGTGTAGAGGATGTAGAGTGTAGAGCGCTGTAGAGCTGTAGAGATGTAGAGCGCTGTAGAGCTGTAGAGCTCTACATCCGCCGCGGGACGAGGCGCCTCCGTTGTAGAGCGATGTAGAGGCGCTCTACAACGTGAAATCTCTACAACAAACTCTACATCATAAGCGGCGAACGAGGCACGGTCGCAAAAGAGGCTTGTGTGGAGGTCGCCAAATACCGCTTGCACTTTGAAAAAAGAAATATCCGACTTTTGTCGAAGATCCGGAGGTTTATCAGAGCATCGCCCTTTTTGCACATGTCTCGCTTTCGATTCATTTATTCTTTGTGGTGGCTCCCATGGTAAACTCGAGTATACCTGTGCTCCAGTGCGCAAAAAGAAAGAGAACAGGAATTGAACTCAAGGAGGCGCGATGATGGCACGCTGCGAATCGCAACTCGAGACGCTGGACCAAGTCCTGTCTCTGTGAGTCGCCGTTGATGCATCTGCTCACGAACACAGCCCGCCCGCCTCGCGAGAAGGAGCACGCAGAACCCACCATCGCCGAATCCCTCGCGACGGCCGCACCGGTGGTCAGACATGGAGCTCTGGTCGTCCACGAGCGCGGCAGCCGCAAAGGCGAGGCTGTTGCGCCTCCTTCAACAAAGGAGGGCATGCCTCACGCGAGCGGCAACCTATCGAAGGTGTCCTGTCCTTCCGGCTTCACCTGGTTGTTTATGCTTTCGCGACGCAAACATGCGCACGACGCCTCAGCAGTCATCAAGTCAGAACGCGAGAAGAGTCGGGTTCTGAGATGGCTGTGCTTTGCAGCGATGCAGCGCAAGCCCGACGAGCGCAGTCGTGTCTCGAGGCCGAGGACGCCACCACGCTGCAATGCAGCGGGATTGAGAAAGCTGCTGCTCGTCGCGATTCTGCCTGCCTTGTGTGCCGCTTCCGCACCGCCGCCGCCGCCGCTCCCACCCTCGGGTCCACAGATCACCGTTGCCGAAGCCAACCACGCTTGCGCGTTGAGGGCAGATACGCAGCATGCGGAGTGTTGGGGGGACAGTGCTCCCGCCGCGCCCGACGTGGCCTACACGCAGATCTCAGCGGGTCGACTCCACATCTGCGCTCTGAGGGCAGACAACGGGCGCGCCGAGTGCTGGGGTAGCAACAGCGCCGGCCAGAGCACCCCGCCGCACAGTGTGGCCTTCATACAAGTCTCTGCCGGCGGAGATCACGCTTGCGGTATCAGGGAGGACACGCGGCGCGTCGAGTGCTGGGGTGACGACAGCGAGGGCCAGAGTGGCGTCCCCGGGGCTCCATCGCTGCCGCCGCTCCCGCCGTCGCCATCGTCACCGCCCCCGTCACCGCCATCCCCATCGCCACCGCCACCCTCGCCGCCGCCACCAAGCCCGCCACCGCCCTCGCCACCTCCGCTCTCGCCACCTCCGCTCTCGTCATCGCCCTCGCCGCCATCGCCGTCGCCGCCACCGCCGTCGCCGCC